TTAAGAGTTATCAATTAGGAAAAGCTATTTCGAAAATGTCGTATACCAGGAATAGTTTAATTTTCTATTTAACTTCTCACAGTCTAACTGTTCAGTTAAAGATCTTTTCTCAGCATAGTTGTTGAGGAGAATAATAGTTTGTATTAGATCCCAGGGACTGTTTTATTATTATTATTCGCGGAATTTAATATTGTGAAATGTCTTTTAAAAGGAAACAAGCTCATAAATTTGATGATCGATTCTGTCTGAGAGTAAATTCTTAATATAAACTAGTATTGTAAATTTTATATCTAAGTTAGATAGAAAAAATCACAATATTTTTACATGTACAAAGCCAGAATTTTACATTTATTCGAGGAATATAAAGAAGCATTTATTTTTCCTTAAACCACCAGCTTGATATTCATTTCAACTAGGGAATAAAATAATAATAAACATTAGGCTTTAAGCATTTCACGTCATTTCAATGACAACTTTACAGATATATAATCCAAAAATCTAGAGTTCAGTTCTCCGCATTGGACAGAGTGTAAGTAGTTATTGTATGGCTTTCAGCTAAACAAACTTTAAACATTTTACACAACAATCAAACATTATTATTTTATTTGCAATTTTCATCAATGACTTATTTACAGATTCAATTGCACAATTTTAAACTTATGTCTAATTAATAGTTGGAAAGTTTGAAATTTTTGTAAGTGAATTGTGACGATTATATTCAGACTTTTCTGAAGAAAACAACAACAAAAAGCGAGTGTTGTTAACCGCTTCCACACATTACGTTAGCTAGGTATTCATACTGGATGAAACCGAAATCCGAATATGTCTTTTTCTCCTCTGATAGGTCTTGAACGTCAGCTGACATTCTTCTAATTCTGAGTCTTGTTATCATGAGTTGGTAACCAGGACATAAATTGTTCTACAGGTGAAAAAGTTGCGATTCAGATGGGTTGTGTTAGCTGACAATCTGTATAATTCTGTTACTGAAATACTTCGTTTTTCCTATTTTTTTTCTCGTACTTCAAATCACCTCTACATTCATCTGGCACTTTCTTCAGCTTAACGCACAGTAACTCTTTTAAGTCAACTTGTGGACCTTTCTTATAATTAAATCGAGAAGCTCGAGTTTGGTTTTTATGATGTTGCGTTTCGCCGAAAGGTTCAGACGATTTCTGAAATACTGAAGAATTTGAACGACGAGTATGAAGGGAACCTTGTGAAGGACATGTACATTGTGGTTGTGTAGCTGACTGTTGGAAATGATAGAGTTGTGTTTCTTCTGGTAATGGAGGAGGAACAGGTAGTGACTTTGTTATTAGACATTGAGCAGAGCACTGAGGTGTTATTTG